ATTAAAGTGATGCTCTGAACTGCACACAGTGACACACACTTGTAATTCCAACCACACTGGGGTGCTGAGGAAAGGGGACTACAAGTTTGAGCCTCTTCTGAGCAACTTAGAATCTTAGTGGGACCTTGTCTTAAAATACACAATTAAAAAGAATGGAGATATAGCTCAGTGCAAAGGTTCTGGGTTCAAACCCTAGTACTCCCTCTATCAAAGTGATGCTGTGGCGTGTATCTCTGCACTTGGGACTCCTCCAATATTCCCCTCTATCTTTAGCAAATCTAATATGAGTTTATGATAGTTCCAACAAGCAGCTTGTACAACTTGCTTGATGTTTTGGGATTAGTTCTTCATTCTGTAACCAATATCTTGGCTTCCTATTCTAATTTCTATTTTTCTTACTTATATAACTATTTGAATTTTTTGTACTATGTTTATTTTTCCATAAATTCAGAACTCAGTAAAGATAAAATAAGTATGTATTTTCTGTAATCATCTAAGACAATTTGCACCACCATGTTGTTATAGATAACTAAACTAGGCAAAAACATTATAGGCAGCAGGGCTTTGTTCTTCAGAGAGCAAGAACAAAGGTGAAACACCTCCCAGTTGTGGCCAGAGACACATTTTCTGGAGACCAGAACTCAAGATAAAGAAAGTGAGCAGGCCTGTATACTTCCTTGAAGGACAAACACCAGGTCTAATGAAACCTGGATAGACATCAGTCACTTCGGTGGGTGACCAAGACTTCTGGACCCATTGTTTCCTAGAAAAAGTATTTGTTCTTTCCACACACTGTGCTACATGACTTGTTTACTTAGGTATCTCGATCCAGTGAGGAAACAAAGAAAAGCTGACAGTGCGCTCAGTTAAACAACAGTTTAGTCACTAACAGTATGCAGCAAACAGTTAGGGAACACAACTTCTTTGTCTTAGTTCTTTTGGAATTTGTGCTTCAAAAAACCAAAATTTATAAATGGTGGGGGTACAAGAAGCACAGAAATTCTTTACTTCGTGGCTGCTGGTCACAAATCTGGGACCAGCTCATGTGTGATTGATTCCCTAGCCGTGTGAAAAGTCACTTACCCTCTGTGTCTTCTAGTTTCCTCACTAGTTAAACAAATGCCTAGGCCTCGTTTCTGATCAATTTGATCAGACTTTATAGAGAAATGGATGAGTCATTCATATTTTAAAAATGATTTTAAGAGGATTTTCATGTGCAGTCTGCATTGAAAACTTCTTCTAGATGACAACCTTTTATATGTGTCACCTGTAGGCCTCCTAAAACATTGAATTGTAGTCCCATCCTCAGAATTTCTGGTTCAGGAAGACTAGGGTTGGGTTTGGTTCCTGGAAAATATGCACTGCTGGTAGAGTGTTGGGTGATACTGATGCATGTGGTCCAGAACCACACTTTATGAGTCATGGACTTAGATGATCTCTACTAGCTCTTGTAAGTGTGAAGCTAAGAATCTGTGGTCTCATATCTTAGTACAAATCCTAGTACATGTTTAATTGCTAAATATCCTGTTTATAAGAGATGGAAAAAATGGGTGCAATTTCTTTTCTTATATTCTATACTCTTTTACTTTGCTACTTTTCCCATCAAGAGATGTAATCTATTTTTGCATTTCTTTCAGATTAGACAAGCATTGATAATTGTATTGTTGGACAGAATGTGGCAGAAATGACATTGCGAGAATTCTGAACTCAGGTTACAACACTGGTGGTTCTGGTTCTCTATTCTTACTTGGTGATCAGAGGTAGCCATATAAAGAATTCCAAACTTTCCTTCTTGGGGAAGACTGCCTTCATGGAGAGAAAGACCTAGCCAGTAACCAGAACTAGACATGTGAGTAAGAACATCTAGATGAACTAGACCACAAAACAATGGCAGGAAAAGCCAGTAGAACAATCTTTCAGCTAAGTGAGCACTACTCATCTTTTAAACTCAAGAATTGTAAGTCGGCCAGGCTTGTGGAGCACACCTTAAACCCAGTGTTTTAGGAATCTGAGGCAGGAGAATCACAAGTTCAAGTTCTGCCTGAGTAACTTAGTGAGACCCCATCTTGAAATTTTAAAAATAATGAAAAGGGCTGAAATTTAGCTTAGTGTGAAGACCCTGGGTTAAACCTCCAGTAGGGCACATGTGCACGCACGCACACACACACACACACACACACACACACATGCCCATGCGTGCACGCACACACAGATTTTCAGCAAATAAGTTGTTGTAAAACATAAACTCTGAGATGGCTTATTACATCATGACAGATATTTGATCAACTGTGCCTTCATTTGCATATGATTATACATACAGAGGGGACAATGGAAATTTGAGTCACATTTTCCCAAGTTAGGGAATGTTAAGAGAGAGAATATAGGTAAAGAGCTCCATACACTCAAATGAACAATCTATTACCTTTTAAATCATGCTTTTTTCCAAGTAGTTTCCAGTGTGTTTCACTGAGAAAATTGTAGTAATTAGCAACCACTGTCCTTTGAGAAGGGGAAAAGTGTTTTTCACACATAGTAAAATATGTCTTGGTGGATTTTTGGTGGATTTTTTTCTTTCGCCAACATTTTTTTGGGAAGTAGGAGGGGGAGGACACTGGAGTCTGAACTCAGGGCCTTGTGTATGCTAGACAAGAACTCTTTCTCTGAGATATGTCCTCAGCCTCCTTTTTAGATTTTAAATTTAAATTTACTTTATTTTGAGACAGGAGCTCACTTAACTGCCCAAGCTGACCTTAAATTTGTGATCCTCCTCCCTCATTCCTCGAGCAGCTAGGATTGCAGGTGTATACTACTATGCTTGGTCCCGTTGTGTTGAGAACCGGCTGGGCGACTTTCCTTCAACAAAGAGCAATTATAGCTCTTTGGCTAAATCTGGCCCTATTTTCATGTACTGATATGTACAGAACTGGGTAGGCAAATTCCTTTCCCCTTCAACTAACATATACAGTTAAATAGGGCTAGCCGGAGTCCTGATGCATAATCCTTGAAGTCGGATGACAGTGGCTGTTTCCCTGCCCTGTGACTCCCAAAAACATAGTGAGCCTGACAGGATGAAGAACCTCAGTTCTAGTGCTGTCAACTGGGTTCAAGGCTTGAGATAAGAGGCTACGACTTCTCAGAAAAGAAAAATTTGCAAAACATATCTGAAGCACCAGCCTCCAAAACATTAAATGCTATCTCAATTGTGTTATGCAGTTTGGCCTTGCCGTGTATCTTTCTCTTTGCATGATGCAGAGGTGCTTTCAGGCCTTCTAGCTAGCTCAGCTCACAGCACTCACCTATTTCCCACCATCCTCTCAGTCACTCCTCCTCAAACCACTCCCTTCTTCACAAATTAATAAAATTTAGGTGGGCCCTGGGCGGAGGCCTTTGCTCCTGGATGAACCTTCATCCAGGCCAGACATAGGACCCCTGGGCTCCCTATGATTATAGATATATATCTTAGTGTCTTTATTCTTGCAAAGGTTGCATTGGAAGCGGTACATTGGAATTAACTCACTGGAATTCAAGTAACCTTTCCATGGAATTACAAATGTAAACTTCCTGGACTGAGATGGGTCTGGGAAGGGCGCTCTAAACCTTTGCTCATCCTATAATATATTAAGAGTGACAATCTATGGTATTTTGGGGGGATATGTCCCACTACACATAACATTTGGTTAGAATTATTATATAAATGATGATAGGCATAGATATTTGCAATAAGAATTTGGGGCTTTCAGACTAAATTTATTTATTAAGTTATCATTTCTTTACATTAGCCTCTTTTTAATTAAAAATATTAATAAGTAAGAATTATATATATATTATGATATGCAGCATACTTTGGTACATTTATTCAGTGTGAAATGACTATATCAACCTGTTTTAACATGTGTCACTTCAGTTGCCTATCATTTTGTGTGATGAAAACACTTAGAAATCTACTCTTTTGACTGTTTTCAAGGATGCAATGCATTTTATGAACTGTAGTTACCATCACACACTTTTCTTAAATTTCTGTTAATAGAGATTTATTTCCTGTTCTCCTTGCTTGATTTTCAGTTTTGCCCTATTTGAGCTTTCCAAATAAAATGCAGGTTGATTATTAATTTGTTTATTTTCAGTGCTGGTGATAGAACTCAGGGCTTTCACACTGAGGTACATCTTTAGTCCCTTTAAAAATTTTATTTTCAGATTGGGTCTTGATAACTTGCCTAGGCTAGGCTTGAAATGGAGTTCATCCTGGAGTGCTGGGATTACAGGCAGGAGCCACTATGTCCAGCTAGGACCCTTATTTAAATGTGAATTTCAGATAAACACCAAAATACTTTTTATGTAAATATAGCCCACATGTCACCTGCCAATTCCACCTGACATGGAATAGTTAAAAAAAAAAAAAAACTTTCTCTGAAATTTAATAGGACAAGGTATCCTCTATATTTTGATTGCTTAACCTGCTAACATTAGTTCAGAGGTGTGACTTTAATATCTTTACATAGTGTGTCTCACATTGGAGTCACCTGGAGAACATTCAGAAAAGTCCTAATATCTGGATATCAGTTCCCTATGGGGACTTGGATGAATGTGTCTGAGGTCTGACCTGGTCAGCAGGGTCCTTTTCTAAGGCTCCCAGATGATATGAATGTGCAGCTAGAGTCTGTAGGCTGGGACAAGGATTAACTAATCAAATGCTCTTGGCCATCATGTTACTGGATTTAGGGTCCTTTAAGCTTAAATGTTTTGGGTTTTACCATCACATACTTAAATATCCTTTTAATATGGTACCTGGCAGAACTCAAAATCCCTAGCAGGCCTGGTGAATTGGGTTTGGAGATGGTTGCAGTGCATATATGACATCTGTGAAAGCAACAAGGCTACTTTGTGTGGCTTCCTGGTATGGGTTTTAAGACCTAAATTCAGAGAGACAAATTCCCTTGTGGCCATAGTCGTTCCACTGTCCACAGACCTATACACAAGTTTCTAGACAGATGTTAAACCAATTAGAGAATCATTTCATAGTTTATTTCAGAAGTGAGAACTATATTAATGCCCAGTTTAGAGGGAAAGTTAATCCTGCAGTTCCAGAAGGCTAAATGGAAATGAGACAAAGCAAGCAATGGAGATTTCGTTGGTAGGCTATTATCATGTACTATCTTTGGACAGAAGGGCAGATGGGGATTACATGGCAGCCTGACTACAAACTGAGAACATATCAGCTTTATGCCAGCCTGAAGCTACTAATGACTGGTAATAAGACCTGGTGTACAGACAACTATAGGGCTGAGATGAACAGAATATGAGAAGACTACTCTTTAAAAATGTACTTGAAGAGTCGGGGATATAGCTCAGCACCCTAAGTGCCTACTTGGCAAGCACAGGGTCCTGAGTTTGACTGCTTGCCACCCCCTCCCCCGCCAATGTACTTAAAAGCTGTAAGCAAGGACACTGTGCTCAGCAGCCTTGAGTTGGGGGCCTTCTGCTTCCCCAGCTTTCTCCCCACCACAACAACCAAGCTGTGCCTTTAGACGCCTCGCTTGTCTTCGTCTGTGTCCCAGGTCAGGAATGGGGAAGCCGTGTGCAGGTGGAGCTACCTGCATCCTGGCACATTTCCTCACTGCCCTCTTCAGGCTCAGATGTTGGAGCGAATGCACTGCCTATGCTCAAAGCAGCCTCCTTCCGTAGATGGCCCCGTTCCTTCTCCTCACATTCCACAGCTTGTGGCAGGTCTCCATCAAGCTTGCCATTGAGCCCTTGCAGAGACTCACAATTTGGTGCATTTTGCGGAGGCAGATTTTTAGCTGTGCTGTGTTTCATCTCTTCCTTCTCAGATGACATTTTGCTGGTAACAAAACTTTCTAAATAATTTTCAACCGTAGTGTCTGTGGACTTGCTGTAATATTCATGAGTGTGGCTATGGTCAGGGTGAAGTTGTTGCTCGTTAGCACTGGGGAGCCCCTTCCTGAACACTCTTTGATAACATTCTTCTGCTTTTTCAAACTCAGTGAAGTCACAGGGTATATTCAGAAAATCTGACTTCTCCTCAGTAACTTTATTTATATACTTAGTAATTAAGGCCCTCAGTTCTTCAATCTTCTCTCTGTCTCCTTTGGCTTCAGATTCTCCTGTTTTCTGCAATTGCATAATTTTATCCCTATAACAGCATATAATATGAAAATAGAGGTAGCTATTGTTTGGGGTGGAGTCCAAGGCCCTTAGGAAGAGCTCAATAGCTTTGTCTAGGTTACCTTTTTTTCTGTAAAACTTGCCTGCAGTTTGAAGGACATCTGCTTTTTGAGGAGCTTTCTCTAGGGCCTCTTCAATCAATTGTTCTGCTTCCGCTTCTTCATTTGTTTTCTGAAGTTTCAGGGCCAAGAGAACTTTGAGATATTGGTTCTCAGGACTCAGCTCAATAGCCTGCCTCAGAGCCCTGTCAGGGAACTGCTTCCATGGCTTAGCATCTAGTTGGTACACTGCAATTGCTAGCCCAGAAGAGAATTCTGGGTTGTCAGGTTTCTCTTCCAGAGCCTTCGCAAAACATATCTTTGCCCTTTCATTTCTTCCACACTTCAGTTGTGTCCATCCTTCCTCAGAGTCAAGCTCAGGGCATTCAATACTGTAGGGATTTGAAAACTTCACACAGACCTGCTTCACCTTGTCAACGTAAGTCTGAGCCTTTTCAAGCTGGTCCATGTAGTAGTAGATCCATGCGTAGTTTCCCCAGGTGACCATACTCTGGATTTCTGCTTGCCCAGGGTGTTCTTGCTGAATTAACTCTTCAGCTTGCTGTAAGCATTCCAGGGCTGCATCGTTTTGACCTTGCAGATGTTTCAGGTAGGCCAACAAGTTGTACATTGTTGCTTTGAATTCTGTGCTTAGCAATTCAATCTGGTTACACACTCTGTCATTTAGATGAGATAAAACATCCTTTTCCTTGAATAAATTCCAGGTGAAGTGGCATTTTAGTTGTGGAAGGATTTTCTCCAGTGAACTCTTAGTGATCTCACTGTGGAGAAAATATACAAAGTCACAGTGATATGCACCTGGCAAGCACTGTACCCTTTAACGGTTAAATGTATACATCAATTTGCCTGAGCTACAGAACAGTTGGATACCTGATTACAAACCAGCAACCTTCCTGGGGGGCTTAAAAATATTGTGAGGCCATTGAGATATTTATCAATAAATGGGCGCAGCTTGAGACCATACTCATAAGTGAAATAAATCAATCTCGCATGTGTGAATACCGAATAGATTCCCTAATGTAAGTAATGATTCAAATATATAAAAATATGTGGTAATCATGATTCCCCATTAGGTGGCCTTGAAGCCTTATAAAGTTTTCACTCATTAATTAGAAAGGCTTTATTCTGGGCTTCTTGATATGGAAATATTTGAAGCTAGAGTATATGAAGTTTTATCCAAATATTTCAAGGAAAAAGACAGACACTATGGTAACTACTATTAAGTTGGGTTATATGGTGGTGAAGTACTAGGTTGCTGAAACAGTCATGCTTTGACCTCTATTGTTATATTGTTATGTCCTGTTTTATCTCAATCTCCCCCTTATTCTTTTAAAAAAAATTATTTAGTCATTTCTTATGTTTGTCTTAATTAAAGAAAAATTTAAAAAATTAGGATATATAAATAGTAACTCTTTTTGATTTCCTATTAACTTGTTTTGAAGTCCTGTAATACTCCCACGATCTTGTTTTGACTGATTAGACTCTGTTCCATTCTGTATGATAGTATCAAGTTTGAGAGTATAGGCAACTACTTTGAAGGCAATAAGATTCACTAAGATACCCATTCTGGTTTGACTATTGTCTTCTTTGGAAGTCCTGTAATGTTTTCAATGCCTAAGTTTTATTGGTCTTGTTCTCTACTGTTTTGTCCAACTTTATAATATCTAATGAGATAGACAATTCTTTTTAAGGAAACAAGAGACAACGTTGATAACCAGTGTTGATAACCTTGTACTCTGTTCTACACCATGTGCTATGTCTATCCTTGGTTTTGACTGACAGCTTTGTTTTGCCATATTTGACTGTATTCTCCCCCCCCCCCCAAAAGTAATAAGAACTAAGGAGTAATAAAATCCAAAATGTGTAAATTTTGTTGTAAAAAAGAGAGGGAAAAAAAAGAAAAAAAAAAAAGAAAAAGAGCTCTAACGGATATAACAGCAAATGTGTTTAGGGGTGTTAAATAGCTGACTATATCAATGTTTTTGGATCATTGAACACAGCTGTTTGCGGTCTCCCTGTTTGAATGTCCACCTTGTATTCTTTGATACTGTGATTTGAGCAACTATTTTCAAGATGATAGTATGTAATCTATTAACAGGTGATTTCTTACTGTTATGTTTTTTTTTTCTTTCTTGTAGTTCTGTATTACGTGTACCCTTACACCGCTTTGTTTTGTTTTGTGTTTTTCTCTTTTTCCTCTTAAATAAATAAAAAAAAAAAAAAGAAAAATATTTGGTCATTAAAAAAAATATTGTGAGGCACACAGCTCTAGGAAGTCTTCACTTTTGGATAATTATTCCTGATTATCAGCTTCCTGGTTCTAAAAGACTTTATCTGTTTAACAAGTAACCTTCCCTTTATGTCAACATCCCTCCTGCCTCCTATACTTCACCCCCTCTGTGTTTTGTCTCCTCATAGATCTCACATCACTTCTACAAGCCAGGAATTCTCAAACTTTGGTGTCCATGTGAAGTACCTTAGTCCTTCTGTAATACCTTATTCCCATTTCAGATCTACTGAATCAGAATTTCAGAATGCCCAGGGATTTGCATTCTAATAGAGCACTCCGGATGATAACAATGGAGAGTGTCTGAAAAACACAGTTTGAGACCCTGTTACAGATTGACCCGGTTCCTAGTTCACAGGAAAGTGTAGCATGTCAGTAAGAAGATGGCTCAGGAAAACACATTACCCAGTTCTATAGAAGAAAAGCTTCAAGGTCAATATGACTTCATTACGACATGGAGTTTTGCAGGGCTAGACTAGTAATTAACATATTTGCTGAGAGGTAAGCATGTAATTAAAACAATGCACCAAAATCTATAGATCTCTGATTTAGTCTTTCTCCAGTATAAGAAACTAAAGAAGGACTTGTATCTCCTTGAATTTCCTCCAGATTCCAGCCTTCATTGAGAAAATTATGCCTGAAAAAATCAGAGCATGATTCCTAGTAGGCAGTCTTGCTAAAATACAGTCTCCTTCCTGCTCCTAGCTCCTACTGGCCTCGGAGTCCTTGGGCTGCCTGACCGGAAAGCAGAAAGCGCTGCACACATAAAAATGTGCAAGTGAGTAAAATAGCTTTTTGATTGACTTGCACAACGCCCTTTTTAATCTCTAAGCAAGTAATGAAAGACAGTAACTTAGCAAATGCAACAGAGACTTGGAGGCTGTCTCTCCTAGAAGCACAGACTTTTCACTTGGACCTATAGATCTTGCTGAAGTCTTCATGTAGACATATTACATCAGGAATTTCTATCTAAAACCTGGTAACAAAAGATTGATTTGTCCTAAAGTCACCTAACATCCTCCATAAAGTCCAAAAATGCAAAAATAAGGGTAGCTAAGATATTTTCCAGGTTCCAGAAGCAGTGAGTCTTGCAGGCAGATTACTGCGCCCTGAGACTGCCTTCCTGAACAAGTTCATCATCTCCTGCTGGAAACTGGATCGCCCCTCTGCAAAACCTTGTAGAACCAGACCTGAGACAGCAATGAGCCAGACCATGGCTTCATCAAGACCGCCTCACTATGGACACTTCCTGCCCTGTGCTTCTGTTTCTTGCTTTATACAAAGCCAAAGCTCTTGTTGGCACCACCAAGACACACTGTATTTTAGGCTGTTAGTTTTCTTGAGGTCACATTGAGTAAAGGAACCTTTCGTATTTCTTCACCACTCTTGTGGACTCTCAAGGCTGCTGGTGACAGACTGGTCTGTTGGGATCCCTACAAGTTAGGCTACTGGCATTGAACTCTGATGGCAGAAATTGTAAAAACAAATTTCTCGGTGGGACCCTGGAAGACTCTGATAGCTGGCAGTCCTCTGGTGATTTCCTCTTTGGTGATGTTAGGCACTGGTAGGGAAGGGAAATGCAACTTGCCTGTGTCCCTACAGAGCACCTTGATATGGGCTTCAGGCCAGCATGCTGCAGAGGATCCCCCTTAGGGCTCCTGGAGAAAGTGGCTCTTGACCCACCTGAGTACAAGACATTGCAAAGCCTCTTATGAAAGCTGCCTACAAAGGTATTGGGAGGAATCTGGCTTTCTGGTCAACCTATTTATGTAGACAGTTTCCATCTCTTTTAACCAGGAGCCTATTATATAGAAATGGCAACTTGAGATACCTGACAATGAATTCCTTTTATCCATTGCATCTCCAAATATGACCTTACAGAGCATTTGCAACTTCTTGGGGCTAATGTGGGACAAGTAATCTCCATTACTTCCCTGTGCATAGCGAATCGGATCCCCATGCACCTGACCAGTCATTCCCTGTAAGTCTTTGTGGAACAAGTGTATTTTTCTCTTAGTTGTTCTAGAAGCTGTACCAATAGCAGTACTCTTAACGGAACTCTTGGTTTTTTAAAAAAAAAATCAAGTTTTCTGAGATATGTTTTACATACTATAAAATGCATCCATTTAAGATACAGTTTGATGAGTTTTGACAAATGTTGATACCCTTGTAAACATATAGACTATTCTTGTCATTCTGAGAAATTACTTTTTATTTCTTGCTACTATATCCCCACCACCTTTAGGCAAACATTTTGCCATCATTAAAAATTAGGCCAGTATTACATGAGAATTTAAGTAATTATACTTTTGAGAAAAATTTTTTTCTGTTGCTTACAAGAATTCACTATAGTGAAACAAAGCTTTCAACTTTAATTTTTTCATATAAAATAAAAATTAAAATGCCCATGTGTCAAAATTCTTTCTTTCACTTCCAGTCTTGAAAAGAGCAAATATTTCAGATCTATACGAGTTGGAGTTGGATGTACTGTACTGATTTCCATCTTCCATGACGTCTGCTAAAAATAAATGTTTCTAAAACTCATAAGAAAAAGAGTCTCTGGCTTAGTCATTTCAAATAATACAATGATCTAAATTTGAATCACATATTTGTGCCTAGGTAGGATGAGCTACTAACAACTCCATCCAGTGAGCAGTTCTGGGAATTTAAGGATCCTGAGCGTGCACACAGGAAAAAACATGAAAAAAAAATTGACAAGCAATTGCTAAAGGTACCAAGGGATACAAACACGTTGAATTTATAACTCAGAAACTTCTTTACATATAGTAAAAAGTTCAGATTACAATGTGCTTTCCAGAAAAAGAATGGTTAAACATTTCTGTTTCACTAACCTCATGACGGCAATCTGCAACCTGTCTTTCAGCTGTTCCAAAAAGCTGCCGCCCGGACTGATTTGCTCTTCAGAAATCTTCCTGGTCTGTCCGCAGTAAACGTGGAAGAGAATATATAATGAGGAGATAGGCGTGGGAGAAATGTACTAGCTGATGCCTTCTCTGGATTTCTAAGTAATTGCCTTGTTGAAAAGGAAGAGGAAACTGAAAAGTGAAACTGATTTAAAGTCAGCAAGAAAGGAAACCAAACCTAACATTTAGAACCACTGTAACTCAGCCACAGCACATTGTTCAAAACTGGGACTCTGAGATTGAAATGTGAGACAAGGAAGCACAGCAAGCCATCAGACTTTGGATCTGAGAGGGTCCCCAAACTACATTTTTTGTAAGGTCTCTAGGAGTTGCTAATGTAGGTGCTTCTGGAACCACATGACTGTTCCAAAATGTTTTCCTACAAAAAATCATAGTTTTGTCCAGCATATTTACTGGTGTGAGACAATATGCATGCAAAGGCCCAGATTTAATTCTCTCTGTTCATGTTAGTAGCTCTGCAATTTTCCAGGCATCAAATCCCTGAATGTGAAAGTCTATTTTACCCCACATGAAGGATAGGAAGCCTAGCATGCTGGAGATCTGCGAGTAGCTTAGCTTTCTGAGGTCTAAGGCAATCATTTTGCTTACCCAGCTCTAAATGGGAAATAATGATCAATGCATTGTTGTTTAATGGATGGATGAATAGTGATTTTGTATATTTGTGCTTCTAGTACAGTTAGAAACAAAGGAGCTGAGTGAGTCACTCCCTGACATTTAACTCTCAACAGTAGCTAATAGGCACTGCTGCCCAAGTCCTCCATTTGCCCAAGAGAGGCAGAAAGCAAATAACATAAGCACAGGAGACCACCAATGTCTCATGGGAGAACACAATTACCACGACAGATTTCGTGAGTGGTATGGAAAGCAGAGGCATCTGGCCTTTATGTTCCAGCACTCTGAGTTACCGGCCCCCCTCTCCTCTTTTTCCTGGTGCTGCTGTGATCTTTGAATGGGGTACAGCACTTTTCCATTGCCTTGGCACCTTTCATGGCCCATGTCTCACTTTCACTGGCATAGACTGGCCCTGAGCCCAACTTTTCAGGATCTTTAATAAACAAAGCTCTTTGCTATTTACTATTGGGAATATGCTTAGCAATTCTTTCCTAGTCATACAAAAGAACTTGAACCATCATTGGCTTATCCAGCCATAATATTTTGAGTTTTGAAGAACTGATGTTACCCTAAGAGATTTAAAAACATTTATAATATTTGCCAACCATTAGTTAAAAATGCATAAAACCCTAGGGTGTAGAATTCCCATGGCTGATTAAATGCTGAGAGAATCTTTAAATAGGAATAAGACTACTTTTGTCCTGAAGCAACACGAAGCAGAGATACTTTGGCAGCAGACTTGGCCCAATTCAGGGTTTTTCCAACAACAGAATTTTATAACACATTTAGTTTCAGAGACTTTTTCTGTTCCAATCAAATAGCCTGAACTTGTGTAGGTCTATAGTTATGATTGTCCTACTTAACAATTTGTTATCTTATTAGTATTAAAATAGTGTGCCTTGGGCCAGGGGTTTAGCTCAGAGGCTTAAGTACCTGCCAGGCAAGTACAAGGTCGTGAGTTCAGTTACCAGTACCAAAAAAAAGAAGTGTGCTTTTATAAAAGATGGGAATAGTACCCTTACATCACCAGCCAGAACAGTTCCTTATGCTAATAGAAGTAAAACTAAAGCAAGTGTACGAACTTATAAGCACCATCTTTAATTAGAAAGTGAGAGGAAATGAAGGGAGGCATCCTCTAAGAAAAGACAATAAGAAAATACAGGAAGAGATCTTCAGTTTGGAAAAATGAAGGGGGTAAAGTCAGCAAGGGTGACTCAGAGTGGTTGCAAGCAAAGGGTCTTCTAGGGCCAGTTTTAGCAAGTGCTATTGAGCCGGGTTATCTGTCTTGGTTTCACAGCTCCAGTGGAGTCTGCATGACTTGAAGGGCAATTTGGTCATGTGAGGTCATATTTCAGTGAAGATTTCTGGGTGCAGATCTTACCCTGGTATCCTCAGTCTTGTGGGGTAATATGAAAAGCTTGGTAAATTTAAACTAATAAGCTTTGTTTTGCCAATGTTTCGGCAGATCTAACCTAAATGACTAACATGTCTATATGTAGAACTGACCCAGAGTTTTATAAAATGAAGGTCCAGCTTTGTTCTATGTTGCTCTGTTGGGCATCTATAGGCATAAGTGAAGAATCATGATTTTTAGCAAAGCCATCTTTAAGTCATTGTATATCTTTGAAGAAAACACAAATTATGCTTTTAATGAGTAGCAGCATAAGGGCCCAGATTGTTTGTCTTCTGTCTCTATAGCAGATTCTGACTAGGTCAGTTAGACTGAGGTAAGAAGTGCCTTTGCTTTTGGCCTGTGGTTTCAAAGGTTCTACTTATGACAGGCACAAAAAGTATACATTTTTAAAGAATATGCGTATCTCTGTTACTTAGAATTCAGTGTTTAACTTGGCACAGTGGGACCTCAAAGCTTAAATGAGAATTTATTTCTATCTTTTACCTTCTGTGTTTAGATCAAAAGAAAGTTGTATCTGGAAATTCCGTGCACCGGGTGAGTGCTTAGGTTAGGGACCCACACTGCTTTGGAGCACAGCAAGGGTCTGAGCATTGCAAATGAGGATCAGAGAAGGAACAAATTAAATTAAAGTCTTCTTCTTCCCTGAATACAGTAGATTGCAATACAATGCAGAATTAATTTCTAGTACAATAGCACCAACTCTCTGTTTTCTTTCTTCACTTTTTATTCTACTTTCTGGTTAAAGAGATACTCATAAATTTGCCTGTGTATTTATTGCAACTCTGTACTGTGGCTGAATAGCATTCTTCATTATTTAGACATTCATGTGGCTTTTTCTCCTTTTGTAGAAAAATTTATTAAATTTTATTCAGTATCGTAAAAATCTTCCTCCTCTTTTTTAAACATTTATTTTTTTACTTTTAAAAAGCAAAACAGATAAAAGAGTAGAAATAATACAGAATTTTAAAAAAATAACTAAGAAATCAACCCTAGTTAATATATTACACATTGTTATCTTAGTAGTTGCTCAAGTTACAAAATCAAAGCATAAAAGATGAACAATCAAACAATGACAACACACATTATTCTTTTTGATGAACTAGCAGAGAATTAGTAGTATGGCTATCTGTCTTGCACACTTAAGCATACATACAGTTATATGTGTATACCTACAAGATGTTCTTTCCTTTTGAGCACTTGCTTTCCTTTCATTATTACAATCTTTATTGTACATTTTGGATCTTATTATTCTTTCAGATTTTATCATTATTATTATTTATTTTTATACTACAGAGACAACATGACATTTACGAATGTGTCTGATTTATTTCACTTATGAATATGTCTCAAGTTGCCTCCATTTACCTATAAAAGCCTCAAGATCATACTTTATAGAGCTGAGTAATATTCCATTGCATAAAAATATCACATCTTTTTCATCAGTTCTGCAACTGATGGCCATCTTGGTTGTTTCCAAGATTTAGCTATTACAAATTGTGCTACTATAAATAAGGGTGCACATGTATTGCTATGATATAACCTCTTCAATGTTTCTGGAAAGATTCACAGGAAGGGAATAGCTGGATTGAGTGGAACTTCCAATCCTATTTTTTAAAGAAATTTCCATACTGATTTCCACAGTGGCCACACAGTCTATACCCCTACCAACAGTGGAGTAGTGTTCCTTTTTCCCCATAGCCTCGCCAACATTTGATATTGGTTGATTTCTTGATGGCAGCCATTCTTTCTGGCATGAGATGGAATCTCAGTGCTGTTTTGATTTGCGTTTCTTAAATGACCCGTGATGGTGAGCATTTCTTCATGCATTCATTTGCTATTTATATATCGTCATCTGAAAAATGTGTATTCATTTTTGGAATGGGTCTTTGAATTTGGGAGGCTTGATGTTTTTCAAGTCTTTATATACTCTGGATATAAGTCCTTTGTCTGAGGGATTTCTGGCTAAAATTATTTCCCATTCTGTGGGTTTTCTTTATACTTCGTTGGTGATTTCTCCCCCCCCCCCCCTTTTTTTTTTAACCAGGGATTGAACTCACAACCTTGCACCTGCAGGCAGGCACTTATGCCCCTGATCTAAACCGCCAGCCCCTGTTGATGATTTCTTTAGAAGTGCAAAAGCTTTTTATTAAGAGCCATCCCAGATGTCGATTCTTTGAAGTGCTTACCATGTGGTTTGCATTTTGTTAATGAACTCTATACCTATGTCTTCAAGATTTCTACCTACCATTTCTTCCAGCAGATTCAGTGTTTCTGTTTTAAGATTTAGATCTTTGATCCATTTTGACTTTAGTTTAGTGTATGGTGATATACCTGAGTCTAGTGTCAGTCTTTGGCATGTGGAAAGCCAATTTTTCAACCCCATTTATCCTTCTTCCCATGAACATGTTTAGCCCCTTTGCGAAATATAAGGTGGCTGAGCATCTTTGTAGTTGTGTTTGCATCTTCTAATCTGTTCCACAGATCCTCAGGTCAGTACCATGTTGCTTTTATCAGTGTAGCTTTGTAGTATAATTTCAAGGCAGGGATTGTGAGCCACCTGCCTTGCATTTGTTGCTCAGAATTGCCTTTGCTATTCCAGGTTTCTTCTGTTTCCAAATGAGTTTTATGAATGTTTTCTCTATATCTGTAAGGTATATTAATGGTATTTTGATAGGGATTGCATTAAATCCTGTATAACAGTTTGGAGAGTATGGCTATTTTCACAATGTTGGTTCTTCCTAGTGATGAGCAAGGGATAGCTTTCCATTTTCTAATATCCTCTTCTATCTTCTTTTTTAGATTAGCATATAGTTTTTTTCACTTTCAGCATTTAGTTTTAATTTTCAGCATATAGTTCTTTCACTTTCTTGGTTAGGTTGATTCCTACTTATTCATCTTTTTTGGATGCTATTGTGACAGGTATTATTTCCATAATTTCTCTTTCCATCAGTTTGTTGTTTGTGTACAGGAATACTATTGATTTTTGAGTGCTGACTTTGTATCCAGCTACACTGTTGAATTTGTTAATTAACTCTAATAGTCTTTTGATGGACTTT